GTCATTTTATCAAGTGTCTCGGAAATGATAAAATTATAGTTGTGAATTTGCTCTTCACAAGAAAGTGAAGAGTCTAAAAGAGGTGCAGAGGAGAGAGCATTGAGGAAGGAGAGGTGATTTATTGAATTAATTTTCGGTAGGTTATGGTAGATTTACTGGAGCGCTTACGTAGAGGAATATTGAGACTGAATTTTATAAGCTTGTTATCAGATATTCCTAAAATGGATCCAGATGTGCAAGTGATGTTTAAGCCAGTAGAGCAAACAACATCTAGTGTATGTCCATGCTTCTGAGTAGGAAAGTCTACATGTTGTGAGAAATCAAAACAGTCTAAAATAGACAAAAACTCAGATGCCACAGAGCAACTCGGAGTGGCAATGTGGATATTTAAATCTCCCTGGAGGAGAATTTTTGAACAGATGGAGGATGCCAGGGTAAGCAATTCATTAAGTTCAGACATAAAATTATTGTGCAAAGACTTAGGTGGTCGGTAAATTAAAATTGTTAAAACTGGAGCAGCACAGAGGCATTTAAAGGCTTAAAATTCAAAAGTTGTGGTCTCGAGGAGGCTGACTAATTCAATAGTGAAAACACCGCGATAGACAACTGCAAGACCACCACCCTTGCTGTGTAGCCTGGGCTTTGTTACGTATTTATATCCTTGCAGAGAAAGCATCTTTAAATTTATATAATCATCAGGTTGTTGCCAAGTTTCACAAAGAAAGAGAAAGTCCTGGTTATTATCAATAATCTGTTCGCAAAGAACAAGAGCTTTGTTTGTTAGTGAGTGACAGTTAAACAGACCAATTTTCGCCTTATTATCAGTCTGATTAATAAGAGACAACTCAGGAGGGTCCATTTTGGGTAATTGCCAGAGTAGAATAATGTCAGTGCCGTTATTTTTTTGGGAACGACGGCGGTCCAGTCGTCCGTTTTCCCAGATGGAAGGGATACATCCACCCATAGCGAAGTTCACTTTCAGTTTCTGGGGAGAGGCACAATGTAAATAACGCGGACGACGAGCTATTCCCAGGATAGTGCAAAGTTCGTAGACGTTTCGCGACAGTCTTGCCTTACGCCGCAGCAGCAGCAGTTCAGAAGCGGAGTAGGAGGAAACCATTTCACGGTGGAGCTGCATAGCAGCGGGGAGGTTGCAACACCAAGCAGACCGAATGCACTCAATCAAGGTTAGAGCAACCAAAGAGAGCACTAAAATAGGCATCATGACTTCCCCATTCATACACACAGCCAAGTTTTTGATACCACGTTAGCCAGATACCACGACTGAATACCAGCGTTATGCAGAGAAAAGTAGTGACAACCACTTTCCCAAAACAAAACCTGGAAACCAGCACACAGCGACACAGCAAGAAAGTTGAGGCTTACTCACGCGTAGCCAGGCCGGTGATGAGTGGAGCCGGGCAGCGAGGGCTCGTGTTAGGCCAGTATTAAGTGCGAGACGAACAGATGAGCAGAGTTGGTCAATGGAAATAGAATAAAATATATTTTAGCAAGTAAAAATCCCCAGATTTCAGTCTGCAGTATTGAAGTGGTCCAGAGTCCAGTGATATCCAGCAGGGATTTGTCCAGTTCGTAGCAGCAGAATGACAAAAATAAAGACAACAAAATCCGAGATTTGAGAGCAGCGGCAGACAGACACGCCAGCGTTCACTCAGGCGGAAACAGAAGTCAAGAAGAGGATCAACAGAGGATCGAAGGACGACGCCAGACGGTTCAGTACGTGATGAACTCGAAGAATGGATGTCGCTAATGGAAGAATGGATGTCGCTAATGGATTCTAAATTATAATATTGATGTGTTTTGCTTATTATATATTGACACAAATTTGAAGTCAAATGGAATCTTTCCAGCAATCTGAAGCAGCAGAAAAAGTCTCACTAAGCAACAGTCAATGCTGGGATCAAAAGAAATTCTTGAAGCAATGAGCTAGAAAGTCACTGAAATATATCAGTCTGGAAAGGGTCACAAAGCATCTTTCCTGGAATGGCAACGAGACTCATTTGAGAAATCAAACAACGAGCTTGGGCAATCATCAAAGGTACTTCAAGCCTCACTCACTTCATATAAGCTTGGCGTTCATGAGTCTACCATTAGAAAGAGGGTACATCACAATTCACTTATTTCACTTATTTCCTCGCTCCACAATTCTCATTTGAACCGGAAGTTATTTCTTATCCGCCATGTTGCAGACTGTCTTAATGGTCTTATACAGTGTCTGCTGTGAGAAGTAAGGATTGAGGAGAGAGCATTGAGAAACCATGAGCAAGGATATGCTAGAGCAGACTTCCTGGGAGACTTTCAGCTGAAAGCCATGATGTCAATTGGTAATATCTGATTCTGGCAACAGGTCCAGCTGTGCCCCGTCATCAGAAATGGACATCTCTTCACGTTACGCTTCAGAGGGAAAGATGTTTCATTTCTTCAAGGAAATTTCTTAGTTTCTTCTCTCCTTGCATGGTTTCTTTTTGTCTCTCCATGAATGCCTGGTGGGAGGGACTAAGACGCAATTGAGGGAAATGTGGAAGCAATTTAAGCGAATTGAAATGCACCCGGATACTGGGGAAAAAATGGTATCCACTGGTATCCATGGAAGTACTGCAAGGCAAAAACACTAATCAACTCAACTCAAATTTTATTTATAGAGCACATTTAAAACAACCGGGGTTGACCAAAGTGCTGTACAGATAAAAGCAGCACGGATGATAGTGACCCATACAATGTAGCAATTACAATAAAATAAAATAAATGCTAAAATACAAAACACAGTGCTGTAAAATAGCACTGTGTTCAGTGTGTTTTAAAAGCCAGGGAGAAGAGGTGTTATCTTTAGGGAGGATTTAAAAACCACTATCGATCCCGCAGAGCGGATGTGCCAGGGCAGGTTGTTCCAGAGCCTAGGGGCCGCCGCCACAAAGGCATGGTCACCTTTGGTTTTTAGCCTCATTTTAGGAATGACAAGTAATAGTTGATTAGAAGATCTTAATGTTCTGGCAGGGGCGTGGATACAGAGGAGCTCAGTCAAGTACTGGGGGGCTAGGCCAATGAGAGCTTTAAAAACAAACAATAAAATTTTAAAAAACACTAGAAGAACATAAAGCTTCATCTCACAAAAAAAAAAACCTTGATGAACCCACTAGCCCTCTGGAAAAATGTTCTGTGGACTGATCAATTGATAGTCAAACATTTTTGAAGACATGAAGTCTAATTTAATTCTGGCATAAATCTAATTCAGCATTCCTCAATGAGAATGTCATACCCACCATCAAACCATGTGATACCAGTGTGGTGGTGTGGAGATGCTTTGCTGCTTTAAGGCCTGGGCTACTTGCCATAGCCTAATTGATGGAACCATGAATTCTGTGCTCTACCAGAAAATCCTGAAGGAAAATGTGTGGTCATGAGTTTGTAATCTGAGGCCCAAGTGCAACTGGGTTATGCTGGAAGACATTGATCCAAAGCATAAGAGCAGGAGTCTGTGTTTAAGCAACAAGAATGTGATTATTAGCACTTCTTTGTCTGCACTCTTTTCTGAATTCCCTAAATTCAAGTCATTCAAGGTAACTGACTGCAGCTCGTTGTCCAAGAGTGGTAATTAATATGTTCTCATTAAGAGTCATCTGTGCAATCTAGTTCGAATATTCTGACTTGCATCAGAGTGAAACACAAAACCTAAAATTGCTGCATAGTTGCAGTACTTGCTGAACTAGGATCTTGAGGCTCCATATCATAGGTGTTCTTTAATTTTCAACAGGCCCCTTTATTCAGCTAATTATATCCCCGAAATTATATCCCCGAAATAAGAGTTTCCGGAATACCATGGTTTCGCCTCACCCGCCACCGCCGCGTCCGCAGATTTTAGCTGTTAGCGTGATAACTCGCAAAATACTTTACATTGGCTTCTCTTTTTTTAGCATATGGGTAGATATGGTAGAGAGGATGAACTGATTAGATTTTGGGCAAGTATGCACTCCTATGTTTGCCACCAGGTGGCGCTGTATATTGAAAGAATCAGTTTTTTAACCATATCCCTGGAACAATTACTTACACAGACCTCAAATTTGCCTCATATTGGGTCTAGTAAAGGAAATTCTAATAAAGGGGGCTTCGAGGATTGGAGAATTTCAGGGATATACCCCTTGCTGTCGGCCGCCGACAGCGTAGGCCTAGTTTTATTTTGTTTTTAGTGGGGTGCTTACATTTTTTGGCATTTCCTCGTTCATTTTAAAATGGTTGTGAAACATAATGCATGTAGGACTGTATTTACTTTGGGTCCACTTTTCCCTTTAATACGTTTCCTTTCATGAAATAGCTCTACCCCAATGAAGTACTACCGATTAATAAAGCTGCATTCTTTTTTGTTGTTGTTGTGGTTTTTCATTGTACTTTAACCCCTTAAATCCAAAAGCCCCCGGTACTGGGGGCGGTCATTACGCATAATAAATACAGCATGTCTCCTAATCGCAAAATGGTCATGCGGCTTATCCACTTTACGTGAAGAAACTCAGCAAAAAGCTCATGTTGACCATTTTTACCTCAACCGAACACAATTCAAGCACCAAGCAAGTAAATAAGCATGGAGCCAATTATAGGATAAAATCATATCAGCACTAAGTCACTAGCATTTCTTTTAAATTTCTGCTATGCATACAAACAATACCTCAAATGAAAGAGGGAAGTCCACAGAATCCAACGATATAAGCCTTGTCATTTTAAACTGACAACACACTCAAAGAACAGCAGGCATATATTTTACAGTCTACAGAGATGAGAAAAAAAATTTTCTTACTTTTGATAATTTGTAATAAAAAACTGTTCGAGGGTAAATCTACGCTTGGTATCGTTAACCCAATGTGTCCGTGTTATAACGAAACTAGATCTTCCAGTCTCCAAGCATGTCTTTTTTTTTTTTTTCCTGGGGCATTGCTTCAAAGATCTCAGCTCCTCAGCATGCAGCTTGCTTGTGTGGCAGGCTGAGGAAGAGCCCGGGCGGGGAATTGAACCCCAAACTCCCGAGTAAGAGTCAAACGCGCTGACGACTTCACCAAAGGGCCAGGCTTGTTGGCAACGTAGCCAGGGCGCGTACTTATTAGGAGATATTTCTAGTGACAGGATCCATCAACTGTCACATCTCTCCCCCTCCTTCAGGAGTGTGTCCTCATGCTCCATTTACGCATGCTGCCATCCATTAGGATTCCCCAGATCCTGCCGATTATGCCAGAATAAGGCAGGCCGAAGCAGGGCCCAGGCGGCGAATTTTTGTGTTTATTTATTTTTTAAACAGGGACAGTGCATATTGATGGACTTTTTTTTTCAAAAAGAAAAGAAAAAATGTAAATATGCAAGATTATAGCCAAAGGCTAATTTCCATCTTTAGTCCCTATGAATTGAACCCCAGATTCCTGAGTAGGAGTCAAACGTGCTGGCCACATCACCAAAGAGCCTGGAAGTCTAGGGTTCGATTCCCCGGCCGGGCCCTCCTTCAGCCTGCCATACTTGCAATGTATTTTCCTCTCTGTGATTGGCTTGTGATGGTGTCAGTAAGACTTTGCTAGTAGCTGTTTGATTCTATGGGTTCTGATGTTTCCAACGAGCTCTAAACCACCTTAATCACACAAACCAAGCCTGAGACAGAGCCTTGTGTTCCCAGTGTGTCAAACTGAGTCCATGGGCCATTTGAATGTACTTAAAGGTGACATAGAATCAAAAACCGTTTTTACCTTGTCTATGTTGAATAACGGTAGTCTACCCGCATTCAAGAACATACGAAAAGTGCTAGACAGTCTGAACATCTCTGTTTCATCGAAATTCCTCTTTTAAAAATGAACGCCAGAAAACGGGCCACTCTGAACAACGCATACATATTATGTCATATGAATCTCACTGCCCCCCCCCGCTCTCACTCCGTTTCCTCCCCTTCAAAATAATTTGCATACACCCGCTCTCCCGCCCCCTACGGAAAGTAATTGCAGCAGTGTTCATGAAGTTCAAGGCGAAATGGCGAGTGGCGTACCGAGGTGTGCTCTTTTTAAAAAAGTAATTTTCTTTAATTGTCTCCCCATCGACATGTCTGACATTGGCCAGTAATTGTGCATGTCCACTGACATCGTTTGTTTCATCCACCTGCAGCGCAAATTTCCCACTCCCTTTTATTTTCTCCATTACAACGTCCTCGATATCTGCCTACATTTCTCCTATTCGTCTGCCAATTGTATTGTTTGAGAGAGGAACCTTGGATATTTCACTGGCAGCATTTTGACCCACATGGTCCCGACGATAGCTTTGCATGCTGGCAGGATAAGAGATTCGACGTCTTTGATTTTGCTACCTGCGACCAGTTAGCTAGCTTCTCATGCTTTTTCTGACACTGTAGCGGTTTTCATCATGAAACTAGCTTGTTTGTTCGTCTGGCTTCTCAACCGCATTAAATATTCACGGTCTTTTTTTTTTTTGTTTGGTTGAAAGGTGTCTTTTTAATTTATTTGGCACCATAACCCGTTCGCCAGCTTTTTCGAAAGGAAGGGTGTTTGGAATTGATATTCCTCACTGGTGTCTTTTTTGCTTTGGCAATTTATTTGGCACCATAGCTTCCGGCAAATCTAAGATTCGCCACAATTGTAGGAAGCTTTTGGAGATTTAACCACCGCAGTCAAGAAAATTTAGCGTTTAATTTCTTTAGGAAGAATCACAGTGGTATTGGGGTAGCATGGATGTAAACCCATAAGTCAGATATTCCTCACTGTAAAGTCTGCTCACCACTTTGATTTTCTTTGGCAGTGGCTCCATTTACGGGACAATCGCACTGTGGCACGGAAAACAATCGATTTGGGGTTATTTGTATTTAAAACAAACACTCCGCCGGAGCGGCAGTGCGCTGAGCTTGGAAGCTGCCAAATCTAAGATGAAACGACTCACGTTTGACAATTGTAGGAAATATTTTGGCGATTTAACCACCGAAATTCAGTCAAGAAAATTTAGAGTTCAAACTTCCATTTTCTTTTTGGCAGTTGATACGGGTACGGCAGTTTTTCAATGCATTTCAATGTGGAGAGGTACGGCAGTCCCCATTTCAAGACCTGCCAAAACCATAATCCCGAATCCTTATCCTAATCCCTTGAAATCGACTGCCGTACCAATAAAAACTGCCGTGTCTCTAGACACTGCGTTTCTTTTTCTGGCCAGCGCAGCAAGAGTGAGGTGGTTCAGGGTCTTAGTCGGACGGCCTTTTCGAGGTTTTGGTCAGGAATTTATCCATTTTCGTTGTTTCGTTTTACCTAGCCTACACTGCTATTTTAGCTGAGTTTTACCGGGGAATGTTTAATTTTTCGCGTTAGACGACGTGTGATTGGCCAATCACGTGAGGGAATTGTACACTAGAATACATGATGCGGAAATATCGAGAAGGAATTTTAAATATACATTATAATAAACTGAATTGAATGAATTGATAATGACATGAATTTTTATTTTTATATCCTGTAAGTGCCGTTGTATATTATTAGGCTATCAGGCAAAAAACAGTAAGTGGGTTTTCTCGCGGCACACAGTTTGGGAAACACTGGCTGTAGCAAATGTCGTATGACGTGATTATCACTCAACAGAAGCTTTGAAACGAGATCTGAAATAAATCCGTGAAGATTGTTGTTGCCAATGATCCTGCCATGCTTACATTAAGACGGTGGGAGGTCGGCATCTGCGCCTTTAGTTTGTGAAGATGTTTCGCCTGGTGCGTCAACACCAAAACATGTGGGTCTAGCGCATTTTTTAGGATTATTCGCCGTGGTCCGCAATTATTCAATGAATGCTTATTCATGAGATTCTCGCGGAATTAAAATCCTTGTGCCTTGAAGTTTCAGTTTCACTTGCGTAAAGATGAATTTCACCGCAAGTAACATGGAAAGCGATTAGGACTTGCTTCGCTTTAGGCAGCAAAGCCAGCCAATCAGCGTCAAGTGCGTGCATTTCATAATAAGGTTGCCAGTTAAGCCCGAAAGGTCGCCAAATAGGTGCAAAACAACGCGTTCAAAATCCCCCACCCTAACATAGCTTTTTGAGAGAGATTTTTAGGAAGCTTCTGAGGCATTACAGACCGAACCAAAATTTTGTGGTGTATATGTCACTTCACTGAACAAGGATAAATACCCCGTTCAACCATTCTAGGTCACCTTTAAATAGCACGACAATATAAACGCTTAACTGGTTTGTTTGTGGTATTTTTGGTATAATTATCCGCTAAATATTCAACAGTCATTTTCAAAGTCGTTTTCTGACAATGTTTGTTCAAGCGTGTTTTCTTGACTCATTCTTTATATTGGCAATTTGACTTCTGGGATTTAGCGAGCTGATGGAGCCTTATGGTTAAGTTGAAGCGCTGCATCCCAGGCGACCAGGATTCAATTCCCGATGTGGTTGCGTTCTCCCTCAGGCATTACTTGCCTTTCGTGTGTATAAATAATTGCTGAGGTTTTTGTTTCTTTTACTCTATTTAACCGATTTTTTACATTACCTTTGTATTTATAATTGTTTTTATTTGCTTTTTTTAAATAAATCTGATCCAGTGGAGTCAAACTTCATTTTCTTTGTATGTATAATCTTTGAATGGGAAATTGTATAGGTTAATGGACTGGCAGAAATAATAATTAAAAAATTCAAAAATTAAAAAGTGGTTTTATTAGGATGGAATGTATGCCTGTAGTGACATATAAGTGAAATTAAATGAGTTTTACTGTTTGGTACCTGAAAATATTAAATGGCACAGTGTCAGCTTGGAGAAGCCACTTAGACATTCCCGAACTAAAACCTCTCTAATTTTCCACTGATTTGCTTGGTTAGAATAAACTTTGGCACAGATAGTGGTGAGATTCTGTGCTGTAATTTTTTAGGGGTTTCAGACTGCAACTGAATAATTTTATGACAGATAAAAGTAAAACTTTGTTCGGTGCAAAAAAGATGTTTCATTTATGCAGTGTTCCATCTTCATTTACTCTGACTCAGTGACATATACACTGATTTTGCACCATGACAAAAATCATCAAGGTGTTACCTTTATTATGACACCAAGATTATTCAAATCGACCAATTTGTTGCAGAGATATAGTCATTTCATTTTGGGCATGTCATTTTCAAGCCAGAGGCTCAGGGCTTAAGGGGTTAAATTACCTTGGTTTCCTTGTCTTCCAGCCAGTACAAAATATGAAGGCATAAATGATCAAATGATCAAAAATGCACATTTTGACTCAGGTTGATGGACACCCAAACCAAGGGCTGAGTTTTTTCTTGATTATGGTTCACAGTTCTTCAGATGTACACTTTTTCCCAACAGTTCTGTTTGGGGAAAAAAATGTCAAAACTTTTATGAATGGAAAATGAGTGATAAACTTGTGCACAATCTAATACCATAACAATGTAATCTTTGGCAATACTAATAGCATAACTGTCAAAAATACAGTGTAAAAATAGTAATGCTGACCTTGAATATATCAATGAGTCCCTGCATTCCTTCTTGGACTCATATTTGGTTTTGTATTATGTTTTCTCCAGAAATGGCCAAAACTTCAAGTTATTAAGTCGTAATTGAAATGATGAAAAGAAATAAGAATTCTCATTGCAATGACTGTAGTTCTGCTTTGAGTTTGATTATAAACTCTATAGATTTTCTGTTGTTTGTCGGAAAATCATGGTTTTGGAATAACACCTTGTGATGGACTACCAATGGGATCATAATGTGTATGAGAGGATTGGCGCTACCATTTGAAATGAGTCAACCTGGTCTTTATGCGTAAACCCAGTGTTTTTACAAATGCAGTTTCATGCCATGTCTTTTAATTCATATCTGCCTTTTGTGGGTCTAACCACGGATTTCCATTTCCTCTGTATTTCCTGTGAGCAGTCTGATTGAGTGGCTCAAACTGAGCACTGTCTTGTGGAGGAGATGGACTTTTAAACTGCGGAACACAAAGTCAGATTTATATGTATTGTGCAATGCTGAAAAAAGACCGATTGAGCTGATTTCAAAATTTCATGTGAGGCACCTTCCCTACAGCATGTAAAATGAAAGA